GGGGCGCCTCCCGGCTCCCGGGAAAAGCCGGTGGGTCTGCGCTCCGAGGTGTGCCCGCCCGCCCGCGCGTGTTGGCGGCTGAGGCGGAGGGCGCGGGGCTGTCCAAGGTACCAGCCGAGCGGGGTCGCCCGACCCGCGAGGCACCGGGTGGGGGGCTCAGGGCGGGCCAGAGGGGGGCCGTGCAGGGCGTCAGTCCGCCTCCCCGGTGACCTTTCGGGGGCTGCGCCCTTCAGGGCCCAAGCAGGGCAAACCGGACCCCTTTCCTGCCCCTTCCTTTTGCCTGTTCGTGCCAAGGTTTTTTTCAGTGAAACCTTTCTGAAGCAGTGCGAGAGTTGCAGGCTCTTTCGGAGGGGAGGCGTTTTCCGGTTTGGGGCTGGATTTGGTTTACAAGTCAAAACCGCCCCCCCGCCCCCCGCCCCCCATGTCGGGGCCTCAGAGCTGATCCTCTCACAAATTGCTTTCCTCGGTTGTGTTCATAGAGCCCCCTTAGCTAGGGTCCCCTGTTAACCCCAGAAGCTTGTTTTGTGTAATACACAACTGATCTCATGAGCTGGGATTGCACATCCATCAAGGCTGTTTGTCACTCTGTGGTTGATTATGTCATGAACCTCAACCCCCAGGCGCCGAGATTCAACCCTATTGCACATTGTTACTCTCTTAATTTGTTAACTCCCGTGTTCCTTCCGAGAGTCCTTGGAAATGAAAAATGCCCCTGCAATGAAGACTCGCAACCCTGCCCTGCTAGAAACAGCCAGTCTTTGTGCCTCCCTTGTAGGTCACTCCTGGTGGAGCCAAGGCACATCCCACCCAGTTTTGTGTGGAAACGTTTCCTGCTTTTTGTTTTAGGCCTTGGATGTGAAGGCTGTCTTTGCCGGACAGATGTCTTCCACTCAAAACATTTTTGCTTAAATGGTTGGACTCTAGCGAGTCTGCAAAACCTACCTAGGAAACGCCCTATAATTTAAAGTACATCCCATACTGTTTATGTTTCTCCAGATGCTAAACTAAATTTGGCCTTTGAGGACCCGGCCAAAATGGACGAGGCAGAGAGACGCTGCCATGCCCTGCCTCTTTCCTGCACCCATCGGGTTGCCCTCAGGAAACCGGAGAGGGTGCCCTGGTCACCCAGCAGAGCAAGCCATCATGGGATAGGCTTTGAGTGTATTGTGCAAATGAAGCCAGTTGTGGTTTCTTTGTACGAGCCAGTGACAGGAACGGGTGAACCCAAACATGAGCTGTCTTTGCAAACGGGGCTAAGCCATAATGTGGCCTGCACAATCTTATACAGGCAAGATTCAGGCATGCAGCAAAGTAAGTTTCCTTCTCTCGGCTCTCCTGCTCAGCTGGGGATCTGCCTGGGTGAATGCAGATCCCCAGCTGGGCTCGGCCAGCAATCAGCAGCTGCTTGTTTTCACTGGTCCCCTGGCACCACAGGTGGGTGAGGCCCGGAGGTCTGCTCCCGGCAAGCCATGGCCCGTGACTGGCAGGCCATGGGGTATGCAGGTTTGTGGTGACCCTCTGCAGGGGAAACAGCAGCTTTGTCGAAACATGTCTCGAAGGAGATGATTTCTCCATGAAGGAAAGTTGTGCAACTCCAGCGCTTTCTGCTCTGCTGCCCTATGGCCCCCTCAGGGCTTATGGGTTTTCACAGAGGCGTGGTGACTTCCTCCCCCTGTGTAGGAGCAGGAGGCCCAGATGCAAATCCTCAAGGACCTGGTGGTGTGTGAGGGGGCTGCCCGGGTAGTCCAGTCTGGCCTGGGAAGGAAGAGACTGACACCCAGGCCTGTCCGCCCACCTGCCCCCCTCCCATCTTTTTGTGGACCCCTCCTTTGAGGGAAGTGTCTGCTGACACTTGCAGATGAGCGCCCAATCTAAGGATGAGCTCTCTCAGGGTGCCCATGCTCATAGGGTTAGTCACCCGAGTTCTAATCCGCCCAGCTGAGGTGTATTGGGGAGATTTCTAAGTTACTTAACTACTGAAAAGCAAAGGGAAAAAAACATTACTTTGATAGCCTGGGGAAGAGATCACGGAGCATAAAATAGCACTTATCCCAATACAATGCAGGCACTTAACATCAAAAACTACCAGGGGTAGCCTTTGCATGACACAATTAACCTGGTTACCGAATTAACCCACTTACTGAATTTGCACAGTTACCACCAATCAAGCTTGTTGTGCAAACGCAGCTGTTAACTCTTGAACCGACCTGCTGAAGTGCCGTTGGGTGAACACGGCTCTTTGTTCTGCCCTCCCTCAAACCGGTTTCCGTTTCCCAGCAAACACAATGCCCTACTTCTTCTGGCCATGGAGGGCTTTCCTGGTTCCGGTTTTATCTTCCTTGTTAATTATTCGAGGGAGGGAGGGTGGGGAAGGCCGCATTTTGCTGTTAGTAGCAGCACCCCCTGCAGGTCTTCTGGCTCCTGTTCTTGGCTGGATCTGTTTCCAGGCCTGATGGACAATTCAAGCCGGTGTTGGGGGCATCTTTATTTTTTAATTGCATTTCTACCTTGCGGGTGCGTGCATGGGGAAGCTTGAGGATGTCCCCCCCACACCCACCCTTTTTGTCTGCGGAAGAGCTCTGAGGCGGATCAGTGCGAGAGTGACTGGCCCAAGGCCCAGATGTGAGAGGCGCTCGAATGCAGTGGGAAGATGGCTGTTGACCTCTTGCCAAGCATGTTGCAAGCTGGCCCTGTCCCAAGGTGCAGGCTTGTCCTCCCGGCTTGAAGGCTAAAGAGAAGGGGACATCATAGCTGTTTGAAGCATGGAGAGAGATCCTTCTTTGAAAGAAGTAGAATCCTCGCGTTGCTCCTCTGACCTTCTGATATTGCTAATCCAAGAGCGGAGATGCGTAAGAGGCGTCTGACGCGCAGGACGCCTTGGAGAACCAGGTTCAAAATCCCTCCTTCTCATGAAACAAGCTGGATGGTTGGGGCCAGGCCTCCTCCCAGCTTAATCGCCCCCGAACGTTGTGGGGAAAGGGGAAGGGGCAGCCCCCTCCTCAGAGCACCCGGAGAGCGGCCAGTTTTTCTAGATAGCGGCCCTCCAGCCGCGGCCAGGCAGCAGGGCGGGCTGTCCAAAGGGGCGAGACGGAGAAGGCCCCCCCTCTCCTGGCATCCCCTCCACGGAGCTCCTCTGCCCTCCCCCCGCCCCATGTTAAAGGTGGGCCGGGGGTCCCCACTCCGGCCGTAGGGCCTAGCGACCGGTTTTGCAGGGCGGTTGGGTTGGCGGCGAGGCCCTTCCGGGAGCCGCAGCCGGGCCGGCTTCCGAAGGC